AGAGAGAGAGAGAGAGAGAGAGAGAGAGAGACTGTACTAACCCGTGGCTTAGGGCTACATCGGGCGCACTCCGACTGCTGGCCGTACGGATTGTAGCGATTGTAGCGCTGGTGTTGTAGTGAATACAGTCGCCGATCGACCACCTGATCCGTCACCCGAACAATGCGGCCCAGAATCGACTCATTGCGATCGCCAATCGCCGCCCGATTCGGCCCAACAGCCATATACAGTGTCCGGAAGGCGTAGGCAAACGCGTCGCGACACTTGTCCATCGCGTACGAGTTGCGGCTCACGTTGTTTGTCGCGTCCAACGGATCCTCAATGATCAACAGCGATGGCTTGTGGTAACTGTGCTGATAATACGGCTGACCACCGGTGGCCGTCACCACAATCTGCGGCTGCGGGTGTTGTACAGTAGTGGCCAACAGTTCCCGTTTGGGTACGTATCGGCTGCCGCGGGTGCCGCCGCCGGCCAGCCGTAGGCCCACCTCCTGGTAGTTGAGTATTAAGCCGTACAGCTCCAGGAACTTTAGCAGTAGACGACCGAGATTAGTCTCCTTTCGGGCGCTCTCATTGGTCTGGAAGAAGTGGACCACCATTAGGACCAGGCTGTAGGAGCTGAGCCCACCCTTGAACACCTCGTTCAGGTCCCGTTGCAGTAGAAATTGTTTGATTATTAGCAACACTTTCTTCACGTTTGGCATCTCTTTGATGTAATTCTGACGTTCAAATAGTGTACACAAAAAAAGTTCATTAAATCGGGTTATAGTGTATGCGAGAGATGGGTGGGGAGGGGGAGGGTTGAGATGACTTGAATGGTAGGGTCAGACACACACACCGGGAGTGAAGGGACTGAATAGTGAACAGAATGTTTAGTTTAATCCGGTGTTAACTCTAGTGTTTTATCTAGAGCTTAATCCAATGTTTAATCTAGTGTTAAATTAATTATACAGTAGATTGGAAAGGAGGGTAGGGGTTGGGGTAAAGGGCAAACCTGGGGGTAGACATGAATGGAGACACACACATGATGATGACACTTACGATAACCAAATCGACACTTTTAAACACTTGTTTCAAATTAAAGCTGATGTTTATGCGTATACCGGACCAGTTGTCGGTCATCTTAATGATGGGAACGGTGGCCCTGTCCAGCACCAGGATCTGATGCGGGTGACAAAAGCGTTGCATCAAGAAGTACTGTTCCAGATCCACGAGCGGCAGGTATGTCCACCGGCCGATCACCACCAGATCGATGTCGCTGGTGGGCAGATATGTGTCCGTACTGAAGCTCCCGAAGCACTGGACCTAATGGTGTGAGTGTGTGTAGAAATTATGGTAAGTTTTTATTGTGTTAATGAACTAATTGTAGTACACTATTCACTGTAGTAATGAACAAGTAAGTTTACCGCCAAAAACATAAGTACACTATGTAACTGTAATTACTAAAGTAGCTAAAACCTAATTAATCAACAAGTTCATCTAGAGCAAACAAGGTCACAATTACAGACCAATGCCATAAACTCACTGTTCACTATACCGAGAGTACACACCATAACAAACATCATGATCAAACATACAAACAAACACACGGCACACATACTCACCACCACATCCCTCCACAACGTCTCAATCGCTTTGGTAATCCTCTGAAGCACTTCCCGTCGGAGCCGTTTCTCGTGCTCTGTGGGCGACATATAATCGTAAAACATCTCAATCTCGCGGTGCAAGTGATCCATAGCCTCTTCGGCGGTCCAATCACACGCCGGACGCTGACTACCAGTCGCTGCTGACCACTGGCTGTTGGCAACACCGCTATCACCCGACTTCTTCTGCTGTCGCTGTTGCTGCTGATGATGACTGTGATATGGATGCCGGGGGTGGTCCGGGCCGTACCAGGGGGTGCCGTTGTGGCGCTCAATCAAATGCCGTTGGGCCGAGAGATCGGTGATCAGCGCCGGATTGTCCGACTCTTTGGCCAAAGTGGCCGCCATTAGCGCTGCGGTCGCCTCTTGGCTGCGCTTTTTGCTGAACAAGTCGTTGACAGCGGCGGAGGCGGCGGGCGATGGGCACCAGTGCTGCTGCGGTGACGACCTGTATTGGCTCGAGTGGTTGTTGTTGTAGCTGTTGTGGCGGTACAGGTGTTGGTGACGATAGTTTACGCGCTCCGGAGGTTGACTACCATTACTACTACTGCTGGCGGCTATCGGTGTCGATGGCAGCGGTGGCGGCGGCGGTGCCATGACTTGTGTCCTATCCGTGTCAGCGGCGACGGCGACGGCAGCGGCTGTTGTGGCAGTTATTGTTGTTGTAGTAGTTGTGGTCGCGGATGTGCTGGCGGTGATGTCTTTGGCTGTACAGTAGTCGCGCCATATCCTCCGCCACTGTCTCGCGCCCGGCCCGTTGTGCTCCGACTGATCCCAGCCAACCGACGGGTCCATCATATCGGGAGTGGACTGTATGTCACTGTGTCTGTTCCTGACGGTGATGTGTGACCACTGATGAGAGACAATGGGTTGCGATGATTGCGATGGCAGACCAAATGGGCTGATGATGAAGATGACTGTGTCCTACAGTCAAACGCCTACTATTATATACCTATGAAATGAAATGAACAAAAAGTTATATCTAAAGTATAGTGTAGTTTTCAATAGACCTTGTATACTGGAAACTACTACTTTGGGGTGACCTTACCTGTATAGTGTACAGTCCAAGTACTGTACAATACATTAACAGTCACTAAATGTCATAGTTGTGTGTTATGTTAGTTTCCAACTTGATACTAAAAGGGGTGACCAATAGTACACTGTATTGTTAGCGTACGGTTTGTTATGATTACGACAAAAGTTTGATTAGGGCTACTTTAGTGGTTTGTTGTACAGTCAGTATTGACTGTTTTTTACCTGCATTGACTAACTGACAGTTAGTAACTGTACTGTTTGTTTTTACAAAGTTGCAACTTGCATAAACTTTTAAAAACTTCAATGTGTGTGTGTTTGTACTTTTCCACTTGGTTGAGTTGGGATTAAATTAATCTGGATTAAACTAATTTGTGTTGTAACTTGAGTTAGTTACTATTTTATAATTGATCTTGGTCACTAAATTAAGTTTAGTTTAATTAATTATTGTTTAGCAATTATTTTTATTAAATATTTTTAGTTTACATTTAAAATATTTGTAATTGTTTTAAGACAATCTTGGTCCAATAATTGTATGGAATTTATTTATTATAAATTATGATGTTTTTTGTTCACTATATAAGGTATACATTAATATATTGAGCAAACAATTAGCGTTTTATTGTAAAACATTTTGTATTACTTTAAGTAATTTATTAATTATAAATAGAGTTTGTATTTAATATTATTATTATCATCAGTGTTTTATATTTTACCACAATTAATTTAGTATTGTTTGTACACTATATGGAGTTCGCTATAAAGGGGTGTTTTAAAAACATATAATAAAAAATTACAATTAATTATAACAAACTTTTACAGTATTTGTTGTTAAATGCTTTTGATATGCGTTTTGTACTTAAAAATTATTTAATTTTAAGTAATTTAAAGTTTAAAAACAAGATTAAATATAGTTAATTAAGATGTACAAAATCTTATGTACAAAATGGCATTTATTATTAATAATAACGAGGTATTTTAATGTATACACAACCAACAAACATGGTATAAGCCACTGATTATAGTCATATAATTATGTTAATTAAATATTTATATCTTCATTTAATTAAACATGTAAATTAGTGTCATTTATAAATATATATAAATGTATATGATGGTTTAAAAATACTTATTATGTACACCCAAATAGTGTACTGATATAATAAATATTAATTATACTGTATATGAATATTCTGTGAAACAATATATGAATTTTGTAAAACATTTTAACGTTACAATGAATACACATTTTCAATCCAGAGTATATTCTTTATGTGTTTTTTATTATAATTAATTGGTTCACTATAACGGGGATTGTTTGTATCTAGATCCCTGTTGACTGTAGCACTAGATCGTATTCATCTTGGTCTAAACAAAACAATTATAAAATTCATTAATTTAATTAATTAAAAATAATAACAATAATCAATACCTTTATCAACACAACAGCTATATATGGACTCATTTTTCATATTCATTACCACATTATTAGTTAACTTAATCCGTATATCATTGGGACCGATGAGGTATATATGTCTGAGGGTCTGACCGACAATACCCAGGGTTTCAGTCAACCTGTGCCGGAGCTCCTCCTCAGTCAATGTCTTCAAATAGATTCCGTTATGAACTGCAAAAAAAATTACAGCAAAACATAAGTTACAGTATAGTTAGTGGTGGGGTGAGGGTCAGGGGGTATCAGCCCATGTATCAAACATACCTTTACCATCGGTGGTGACAAATATGGTGAGCCGTGTAGTGCTGGGTATGGCGTGGATAGTGTTATACAGCCGTATGCCGTCGGATACGCCACAGATTTGGATCAAGTCGTCGCGCGAGAGGCGCCGCAGGTCTTCGGCCGAGAAGTTCATCAACACATCTGTCAAACGGTGGAAGCGATTCCGGTTCAGCCACTCGTAGGTCTCGGTTGGCGTGGCGTCCGATGGCAGATGTCTGAAGAAAGTTATGAACAAATTTTGATTGAAAATAATAATAATAATAATAACAGTAATAATAGTAAAAGTAAAGTAATATATAATTCTTAAAAGTTATAATTTATTAAATTATTACAATTGAGTGAATAATAAATGATGGTGAATTTACTAATTCCTAGTCTCAAAACATTGTGAGCACAACAATGTCGTAAACAAAATACAATGTAATGACAATTTCAGACAGTATTTCATAATTAAATAACAAAAGCTTTTGTTTTGACACAACTGTGCGACCAATTCAAATGTCTAGATATTTAATCCAATCATTATTATTAAAATATATTTAAATAGAGAGAGAGAGCATCAATACATACCAGACACTGAGCCGAGTCTAACCGCGTGTTTTGTACCATAGCGTAGGTATCGATGATAAGCCGTAAGGGTGTGCCCCTCTCGCCCCCATGCCTTTTGGACGTGAACTCGGTGGAAATGCAATTGAGCTTGATGAATATGGACGCCTCCCGATTGGGGTTCCACACAAACTCCAGGCCATTAATGTTAGTGCTATGGATCTGGACGTCAAACACGCCGTAACTGAGGGCAAAGTCCACGTCTATAATGCGGTCCTTGGCGTGGGTTCGGCACCAATTGATCATCTCTTCCTTCTCCCGGTATTGTAGCCGCTTTTCCACGAAACCTAGGTCAGTTTTGTGATTAGTTTTAATTAATTATAAGTAAATATGTTTTTAATATAAGTTAAATATGATTTTTAAAAACTACATAATTAAGCTCGTTGTAATTAATTATTATTTAATGTAATTAACCTTGTTTTATATGCACGTGCTAGTGTTTTATGCTAGTTTATGAAACATTGAAGTTTTATGCTAGTCAACATATTTATGAAAATAAATTGCTAGTAGCAAAAATTCAGACAACAGTCCCTCTCAAGGACTTACATAATAAATAGCTGTCATGTTCGGCACAGGTAAGGGGATGTCATTTTTAAACTGGGGGTGTAAATATAAAAAGCAAAAGTAACATTTTTATACTACTTGTACCTAAATTCATCTCGGTTATCAACTTAATCAATAAAACAGTTTTTATTCCCAAACCAGAATAGACCCAAACTAGACATCAGTTGCCTTTAGTATAAAAATAAATTCCCTTAAAAAAGACTGCAAAAACTTTGACATTAATATTTTTTGACAACATTTAGTTAAAATTTTTTCCATTTTAAATTTTCCATACATTTAAATCTATAATGATAATAATAAAGCATAATTAACATGGCCATTTCAAATTAATAAAATATTTATAGAGTCCCCCACAGATATACCATACCTAAGCGCATGGTTGTCCGCAAATTTTTACCATCATAGCCGGGAATATCGGAAATACGCTTGAGCCTGATCTCATAGGGCTGGGCCTGATTTAAGTAGGTCATGGTCATGGCACCCAGTTTGACACCCGACGCGGTGGGCGCACCCAATATGTACTGAAACACCCTGGAGTGGGGCTCGGCTTTGATTGTTTGGCCCACCTGTACGCTAGACATACGGTTGGCCACAGAGGGTGCATCTGTTTTGCTATACCGGCGCCACGAATAGCCGTACGAATTCTCCATGTTTTTTGCCGAGTAGTCGCCGACGACTGCGCCCACCGTTTCGCCCGACTCCGAGATGTCCGATGGAAAACTGTAGGTAAAAGTTAAGTACATGTTTAGTATGTGTCTTATATGTGGGAATATTCCGGGATTACAAATAATAGGGAATATTCTCTGTGTGTCTGTGTTTTTATACTTTTAAAATTATTTACATTTTTCTGTTTGTCAGATAATCTGTGACTAATCTATATTGTAATTAATTCAACCATAGTTTTAAATTCAATCATGATAAATTAATGTAAAAACTATTAATACTTATGAACAGAGCCGGTGTCCACCGACGACGACACGGAACTGATTGGTGACAATTCATCGGTAGCTGTCAGACCCTTAAAGCACAGCCGTTTGGTATTCTTGCGGGCCTTACGGGCGGCCTCTATCATAGACTTGGCCGACGCGGCCATGTCTTCGGCACTGGTAGGCGCGGTCGATGACGGTTGTGGTACCGATGATAACGTTTGCAGCGATGGTACGGGTGCTGGTGGTTGTTGTTGTTGTTGTTGGTGGTGATGGTGTTGTTGGGTGTGATAATTGGTGTACCCATTGCTGCCATACCTTCTCTCGCTGTCGGTGGAAGTATACGAACCGCAAGAATCATTAGATACTGGGCTATAGTAGAGTTTGGGGGTAATAATTGGGCATTGAATTGAAATAGTTGCTTTTTATTAAATTCAAGTAATTTAAATTATTTAATAGTTGTTTAGTGTGATTAATATTATAATGGTATTACTTTTGGTAGTTTCGGTTGTTATTGCTGTCTATGGTTTAAAGCATACTGTTATGTTCAAACGTGTTATTTTATAATTGTATTTTTAATGTAATACAGTTTATTGTTAATTAAAGTTTTAGTATAGCTTTTTAGTGTGCTAGCAATTTAACATGTATTTACCATTTGTTTTTAAATTATACAGGTAAACTTTACGGAAGTTTTATAAACTATATTTTTAGAAACCTTGCAATAATCGGATTAAAATTGTTTACAAAATTTAATTAATATAAAATAATTTTTTTTAATTGTGAGTCAAACATTAAATTACTTATTTTTCTTAATAGTAATAAATTTAATGAACATATGCTTTAATTTTTTAATTAAATAACAATAAAAATTAATTAAAATGTAGTTAAAAGTAATAAACAATACGATATTACACGATATTATACAGTAAGTACTCTCTCAGCATAATTACCATAAGCATAAATTCAAACAAAAACAACTAATAAATACTCAATCAAAAAGAGGGTACACAAAACTAAACATGATAAAAAAAATTTACAACAACAAAAAATAACAAGGTAAAAATAACCTTACCTATCGGGGTTAGTTTGCCGGAAATATTTAGCCCGGGCATCGTGCGAGTCCTGAGCATTATGATCGTCCGCCTCCAGAGGCTCAATTTGTTCTACCTTAATATTATCACCCAGGGTGTTTATCACTTTATTCAGGTCCCGGATTAGCGACACTTGTGTATTGTCGGCCCCGAAGCCGGACAACGATATGTCAAAATCCTGAACCAAATCATCGAGAAATAGGCTGTTATTATCGGCCGGAGTTGCGGTGTTGTGACCGCCGGTGTGTCCCACGGGAGGGGCACCGGGAGGACTGGTAGTATGACCTACAGCCTCACCCCCGACGGGTCCGCCACTACTGTCGCTGTGATGTGTTTTACCCGACGATGACATGTCTTTCTGGACCATTAAATCTGTGTGTCTTTGGTCTGAATACCAGTACTTTCTCTTGAGACCCGTTTTTCAAAGAGTTTTTTGTTTTTAGACAATCACTTGATTTAGTGGCACCGGATTGCGATGTATTATAAATTATCAGGGTAGAAATTTCCACAATGATAATTGATAGTAATGGTCCTGTAATATGAAAGTAAATAAAAGTTTTTGATTAGATTGATAAATAAATTAGTGCTAAAAGTGTGTATTCATAGGATTTTTTAAATAATAATAATAATAATAATAATAATTAGATATGATATCAATATATATTATAAATGGTATTAATTTATAAATAGTGTATTAATTTATTATACAAAAAACTTTTCCCATTTCCCAATAGTGTATGGATTTTAGTGATAGTAGAGACATGTAGATAAACTGTGTGCACAATAGCGTAAGTTCACTGTAGTATTGACATTGAAAAACACACCAAACAAAAAATTATTGATAATTATATTTAAATAGAATATTTAATCAAATTACAAACACCAAGCAACAAGTAAACAAATAATTATGATAAATAACAACCATATATAACTAACAAGCTTAACACAATAATAATATAGCTAAATTTATAAATTACACTTTACACCGGATTCACTTATGGTAGTATAACTTATAGACTTAGCACCAGGGTCCACACAGATTATATTTAACCAAGTATCAAAGGCTTATATACGTGCGGGTAAATACAATTAATATTAATTGTGATTGATTTTATCGACTTGTTGTTTGTTATGCGGTTAATAACAAATAAAAATACCAATAAATATGTTTATATGATATAACTTATTGTTTTACTCAATACAACTAATCAATGAATGGCACAAAAAATACAGTTTTATAAATAAAATCTCATAAAGTTTTCATATTTGTTTTTATAAATTTTTCAATACTTTTACTGATATAATGATATAAATGTAATTATTATATTATAAGAGAGAGAGAGAGAGAGAGAGAGAGATGATAATGAAAATACCAGCAAAAACATGATTTCATAGTAAAATCAAAATTAATTCACAAAAATCACAATTCATTTGCGCGTAATACAATATAAATAAAATATAACAATAAATAGTAATACATGGTAACTAAGATATAACACTAGTGGCAAAACAATTACACGTATCATTGATTTAAAATTAATTTTTCTAATTTATCTGTCGATGATTAAACAAAATATAAAATACTTTGCGAAACTACAGGTAATAATATGTTTGAGTGCCTTAATAATTAATATAACTTTATACAGGTAGCTAGATGTGTTTTTGTTTTGTTGGAATTATTTAATATGCTAAACGTGTCTAGATAAATTATATAACTTATAATTATTGTGTTTTTTAGCACAAAAATTTTGTAAGTGTTTACACCTAAAGAATGTTAAGAATAGGAATATTCTGTTGAAATTAATTAATATATAATAAAAACAACTTTTTTTTTATAATAATACTATTTTAATAATAAGTGCTATTATCTAATGAAATGTTATTTTTATTTAGGATATGTTTATATTTTATATTCATTAATGTTATGTTTGAAATAATTTTTAAAGTTGTATAAAGTTAGAAATTTTTTGGTATTATTCCACTCATTTTTACTATATGTAATTTTTTGAAAACATAAAATACCCTAATACTGTATTAAAAATAATATTTACAAAAACATAGAAATGTTTTAAAGTTAATACATGATACTAATTAGTGGATAATATTAGAAGTAAAATAACTTTTTAAATATAACAATAATTTATAATTTGTTATGCATTTTATACAACAATTAAGTCAAACACAAAACAAAATAAAAAAAATTACATTTCATTGTCAATGAAACGATAAAAATGCATTAAATTTTCAATAAATATATGATTTTAAAGAAATAAATAGCAAAACAAACAATCGCTCAAACCTTGACAACAAAATAACAACACTATGTAAAATAAATTTAGTTATTATTATATTAATAAATGTATATTAAGTTTATAAGTTATAAATTATAACAATAGCTAATACTTATATTCATAAATTATAACTTTAATTTATAAAACTAAAACATAATATATTTGAACATGATGATGTATTTTGATATTTCGATAAAGTTAAAACTTTTTGTTATGAATATGTATTAAATATTAGGGTAATTTATACAACTAATATTTTATTTATTTTTATCTGATCTTATTTGTATAGCAACTAAACTTAATAGGAAATATCAATTGATATATGTAAATTATCAAGGGAATTTATTTGTTTTACCATAATATTTAAGATATAACTTATATTTAATGTACAGAATATATTATATTTGCAAACCTTTGTATTATATGATTGTCAATGGTGTGCAAAAAATAATTATGATAACAATTATTATGCCAAGATATTTAATCCATTATATAATGCACATGGTAATTAATTATAATAAATACGCAGATATTGCAAAACATACACTATTCGCAGTATATTATAACAAATAGATTAAAATATTTATAATTGATCAAGTTATAATTATTAAAACTTAACAAATAATAATCAAAAACACATTATTAACGCGAATTATCAGCTAGAGTTCAACGAACATTATATTCACAGACAAAATACAATAAAAATCACAATATATTTTAATTATTATATAATATAATAATTACATTTATATCATTATATCAGTAAAAGTATTGAAAAATTTATAAAAACAAATATGAAAACACATTTTGAACGGAATTTTCCGATTTATTTCGTAGAAAATACAGCATATATTATATAACTCATATATAAGCAATGTATATAGCCACTTTATAAGACACTAAACTAAACATGTTTATTATGCTATATTTTATGGACGTAATTCACTATTACATACATGAGATATGTGTTATTTGGGGACTTTTATGACTTTTTCATAGTATGTATTCGTTATGAAACCAAATGCTATGCAAACTCTATGGTCGAGAATATTATTCACATTTCACGGCCAATACTGTTGTGCCTGTAGTTTGAAATCAGACTGAATTTCAATGCTATTTCTCGATAGCCTGTTAGCACTGTTTAGGTTTGGTATAAAACATGTTCTCTCTCTCGACATTATCAATGGTTACAATA